AGTTGTAGTTGTTTTTTTTTTTTTTTTTTTTAATGCATTAGTGCTATTAGTTGTGATATTTTTAGTGGAACGAATCATTGTTGTTTTATAAATTATTAAAAGTGTAAACTGAGTAATGGTGCGTGTGTTGAGACCAAATGTGGTGCATAACCTCCTCCACTCAACCAGATGAATTCTACCACTCACCCTAGTCACAGTCCACTGCCGCCACCTCCATCGCCTGCGCCGGAACGGGAGCGCTAACCCTATCCATCGCCACCACCGCGATCCTTCTTCTAACCTCGCGACTCTGTCTGACTCGATATCGCTCTCTGTCTCTCTCGCTCGCCGTGGTCGTAATTCCAGCGGTATCTCTCTCTCTCTCTCAATTTACCATTTAGGTTTCTCACATTCTCTCTCTGATTTTGGATCATTTGTGATCTCTCAGTGCATTGTTAGGTTTGCCGACTTCGAGTTCAAGTTCCCAGTTCTGTGCCGCACTCTTCTCTATCTTTCCTCCTCCACTCAGTAGGCCAAAAACTAGTGCTACGACAATTTCTTCTGCGAGAGGTAAACTTTATTGCTAAAGTCTCCATTTACTGCTCTCTCTCTCTCTCTCTCTCTCTCTATCTATCTATCCATTCATGTCAATAATAAAATAATCTTAAGTATGTTCATAGTCCTGTATAGATGATGCAATATTTAAAACTAAGTCTTCTCAAACTTGATTAGTTGCTTGTTTCTCTGTAATTTTCATCAAATAAAATCATAATGCATCCAACTCAAAGCTAAATTGACCTTAAGGCTGTGTTTGGTTCATGGATTTGGGGAGAGATTTGGAAAGGGAAAGGGAAAGGGAAAAAGGTTGGTGAGTTGTGAATGAAATATAACTAGATTTCATCAACATTTCACACATCTTTTCTGTTTTCCTTCCTAAATCCCTCTCCAAATCCATGAACCAAACACAACCAAGGGAATATATTCTTAAACTATATGAACCAAACTTGGGGTTGAATCAAATTTAAGAGTGGAACTGCTCGAGCCTTAAAGCAAATTTAAATGTCTATTTGAATCAAATTTAATTGATCTTTTAGACTATTCAAATCAAATTTAAATGACTTAAAAGAGATGATGAGACTTAAGAGAATTGTTCGAGCCTTAAAGCAGACCTGTACTATAGGGATTTATATGAAATTATTTACTCTTTTGTTGATTATCATTTAAACTTACTGATTTCTGCTTTGGATAGATGATTGATAATAAGGAATTTATGCTTACTTGAGCCTTTATTTGTTGTTGCTCATGATGTACCTAATGATCCGTTAGAATTGGACCCTTTAGATGCACAGGTCATATAAGAACAAGACTTTGGCCTTGGATTGTAGTTTGAAGTTTAAAGAGATATCATTTTGTCACCTCAATTTTAAAATTTTACATTTGAATCCCTTAATTTATAAAATTGCTTTACATATTTATTTATTTTTCTTTCTAACTGATCTACAACTTATGGTAGTCAAAAGGTTACTACTATTCTACCTCAGTGATATTTGATTTAACTTCTTTAGATGAAGGTGATGCAATAGGAATGAATCAAAAAGTTTATTTTAAAAATAAAAATTAAAAACTCAGAAAGTCTTAATAAATAGTGACATAAACCAATAACTAAAAAAACGAGTGACACTGTAATATTTCTACTTAGTTTTTCTTATTTTGGGTAGGACTGCCACCAAATCAAAGGACAACTCTTGTAACCTTTAACTTAATTTAATCCCCTTCATAATTGTGGGGGAAAGGTTGAAAAAGAAAGGCGAAATGCCTCTCATGATATAGAGACTATTGGAGCAACCGGCTTGATTCTTGGCTAGTCAAAATGCCTAAAATCCCTCTTTTGCCTTGTCTGTTGGGGTTACTCTTATACTATGCACTTTACCCTACAGTGTTGGAGATGCTTTAACTCTCTCTGTCTCTCTCATTTCAACTTCTCTGTGAAGAGCAGGATCCAAAAGCCCATAAAACACTCACACTTGATGGATCCAAAGTTATTGAGCAACCAGAGGCACACGAGGAACACCACCAACACCATCTGTTCCTCTTTTGTCAATGCGGTACATTCAAACCCAAACTTTCTTCCATAAATACTGCTAATATCTTCATTAACCTTCCACACACACATATGTCCATGTGTGGATGTGAGTATGTATATGTATCTATACGCTTATCGATGATTGTGTATTTGTGTCCTTGTTCGTTGCAGGTGTGTTTGCATGATTGGTGGCTAATTAAGCTTGACATGGACTCCAATGGAAGAACATTAGGTGTTGGAGGACTTGCATTTAGAGAGTAATTTCTAATGATTGAAAGAATTAGGGTTTTTTCAAAATTGAAAAACTCGAGCTGAAAATGTGGAGTTTTCCTACTTATTACTCCTTGAGTGTGTGCTGCTCAAAGAGAAATATGAAATGGAAGGGAAAAAAGATGGATATTGCTAATCAACTTGTTATATATTCTTGTAAATTTGACCATATTAAGATGTGTTATATATATGGTAATACTACAATACACCCTTCAAAAGGGGTGTACCATATGCAAGTCATGACATTTTGTGGTGTTGTGTCATAACCATATCACTTTATGTCATAACTTAAATAGATCATAACCAAACACCTTTGAGGCATGACCAAAGACTTCTTCGGTCATAACCAAAGGTCATAATTGGGGCACATGGTACACACCTTTTTCAAGGTTTGCGTTGTAGAATTTACCTATATATATGTATATATATTTTCCTGATGTTTAACCTTGAAGGTGGCTGCTACTTTCTGAAAGCAATTTCTTCAACTCTTTTAGAGTGAGCAGTGCTCCCTTTCCTCCTCTCTTCCTTTCACAACCTTTCATTTGTGTGGATGACCAAACCATGTTAATTATCCACACATTTCCCATGGAATGTTCAGGCTGCTTCTACTTTTCAGACTGGTTTCTAGACCTTAGTTTTCTGACCTTGGATCAATTTACACAAACACATAAATCCTTCTAGAAGTTTCCATAGCTGCTGTTTCTTTTATGATGAGTATTTATTGGATTTTGTACCACAGGAGACAAACGATAAGAGCTTTTTACTCTGTAGCTATTGCCAAGAGGCATGATACAGTCACTCTTGAGACTGCAGATGGCATCACAATTACAATTACTAGCTTCATAAATAGGTCTATCACACTTGAAAATGGCTTTCCAGCTGAGGTAAGTAATCTTTTTTTCACTTTTTTGTTTCATATTTTAACACTAAATGTGATTACCTATATCCACATCATAATATATTCATGGACATTATGAAGTTGGTTCTTCAATTTTAACGTTGCTGAAGAAATGCATTGCACAACTAGTGGTCAGTAAAAAATGGATACTGATGTTAAAAAGCATTTTCGCACTACCCCCGCCTCCAGCACTCTTTTTTTGGTTGTGAATAATAGCAATTGCAGATTTGTGTGATAGTAGGGTTTATGTACATGGAGAATATGAACACCAAGAAAATAACCATCATTTAGCAATGAAATCTATATGTAAGAAGAAAAATTGCTAATTAAGTACTATGGTACAAAGTTTGCTTCCCTCCTGCTCTGCCCCGCCCCCAAACTTCCAATTCTCAGTGGAGTCCAAATTTGACCCATGATTTGAACAGGTTTGCAATCATTTCCTTTTTGGATTTCCATGTTACTGGGAAGAGTATGCTGGTCGATGTTTCGTTGAAGAATCTATCAACAGATCGATTCCATCCAGGATTTCTAGCTTTGATGGATTCGACATGTCTTCAGATGATGGTACAGACTCCCTACCAATTTCCTTGAGTGATCTTCCAGTGACACGTGTACGTGATCTCTTAATGTCCAGTGTTGGAGATTCTGGCAATTGTGTGCTAGCAAAGAGTCTTTTGAATGATATCCTGCGAAAATATGGAAGTAATGATTTTAAACATGACGGGCCAGCAGTTCAATCGAACATGCAAAGTAATTGTCCAGGGATGACTATGGATTCTGTTCTGGGTGGAACTCCTTGTAATTCTAACAGAACAATGGGTAAGCAGAAGAGAGAAGACAATAATGGCAGTAATCCATTAATGACTGGGGATTCTGTGTGTGATGGAACTCCAAAAAATCAAAACAAAACTGAGGTTGATCCGAAGGTCAAAGAAGATGATAAGGGAATAGAAGAATCTGAGAATGTAATTCCTGATTGTGAAATGGGTTTGGATGTCAATAGCAGTAGAAGGGTTACCACAAGAAGCATGGCTAGATTGAATAATTCAAGTAACAAGCGGAAAAGGAATCTTTCACTGAATACTCGTGTTACTTGTAGACTTACTGAACCGTTTTCTGCATCAGAGACCTCTGGGGACCAATGTGGACAGGTGGTAAATAGAGGAAATGCTTCAAGAGAGAGTTGTCCTACCATATTATTGTCTGATGCAGAAATAGAAGCTAAAGAAACTCCTGATAATTCTACTTCCAGAAGACCTAGCAGTCTAAAAAGCTCAAGTGATCTATTTTCTACAACAGAGGCCTCTAAGAATCAATGTGGAGTGATACCTAGAAGAAATGGTTCAAATTTAACTAGAAACGAGATGGAACTTAAGCAAATCACTGATAAATCTGCAGTCAGAAGATCAAATAGACTGAGAAACATAAACAAATGATTGGAAAGGACTGAAATTAGAAGGAAGCGGGATTGGTTTGATGGAACTTGTTCGTGGAAACAAGGATTTTGATTTCTTTAATTGCAAGGGTTTCGATAAACTAGGCTCATGTTCACTCATTATTGCTTGTTTAGTGTTGATGGGAAGTTTGCTTTCATATTTTTCAGTTTTTAAGAATAGCAAAACTTATCTTGTTGGCTAAAACAAAACGGTTTACTTCTTACCCTAGTTCATAAGGGTGCCCAATCTGGATTTGGAGAGAGAGTTGTAACTTGTAAGGGCGCCCTAATTCCTAAGGGCACCTAATCTGTGCAGGTCAGTGATAACGTAAGTCACATGCAACAGAGTAACTCATATCCCTAGCTGTTAAACATTTGTGATTCTACAACTTGAAGGCTAGAGTTGTATTTTCTCTGCTAAGAATAGAAATCACTGAAGTGCTGTAAAAGCTGGTCCCTTCTGTATCTTCTTATTGCTCTATTGTTACAGGGTATATCATTTTAGAACCTTTTCAAAGTGTGATTGTCAAAATATGTTTAAACCCAAGTTTTGTGGAAGGTTGAGGCATTACAAGTTTCATATATTAGTCAAAGGCTCTTTTTTGTAATTATGATTTTTTCAACTAGGCAATGATCTTCATTTGATTCTATGTATGGCTTTATTTGAAGCATCTTGGTAAATAGAAATATGTGAGGCCGTGCATGTGACGTTCCAAATAATATAATAGAAGGTTGGATCATCCTTTATAATTATTATGTTGTGTTTAGTTGAGAGATTTGCGAAAAGATTTGAAAAGAGAAAGGAAAAATGCGTGTGAAACTAGGTAAAATGTAAACATATTTTATTCATATTTTACCTATCTTTTCTTTTTTTCTTTTTAAATCTTTTTCCAAATCCCCAATCAAATAAAACGTAAAGGTTTTTGAAATGAAATGTCAACTTTGAGTTGTAATGTCTAATGGCAATTTTGGTTGATTCAGTCTTAGTTTAAAAATCGGTGATATTCTTTACAGTTTAGAATAAACTCCTAAATTGGTTAAACAGATGTTTCATTGTGATTATTTATTTCATATTCTTTTGTGTCATTTCTGAAATTCTTGTGTTTTCTTTAATTTTCTCCATTGATCCCAATGTAGGGGTGCTTCGTGTCATTTCATTTTATTACTATTGTACATTTTTTTTTTTTTTAAATAAAAGAATCCCCACATTAAATTTTTGGGTAAAAGTGAGAGGCTGTTTAAATTTTTGTGTTATCTTTATTTTTATTTTAAAAAATATTACTAGTTATCTAAAAATAATATCCCCATTATTTATAGACGATGTTTGTTTATAATATTTGAACTTTGTCATTCTCATGTCTGCTTTCTGATAAGCTGTTTTGTATTAATTGGGAAGCAAACTCACCGTAAAACTCAGAAGTTACTACATTTAAGAGAAGCAGAGCACCAGAGGGGTATGCGAATGGCATGGCCACTGGATCATCCTCATTTGTGACAATCAATAAATACGAAAGGGTGTCCTTATGTCCATAATCAGCAGCCCAGTGGAGCGGTAACCAATTATCATTGTCGCAAATATATAAGGAGGCAGGGTGTTTTTCCACCAGGATAGCAGCAGCCTTGGTGTTTCCCACCTGTGCAGCTTTATGAAGGGCAGTGACACCAAAAATGTCAGGCAATCCCAACGCCTGTGCCGGCATCAAATCTGTTAATGTACCACTAAACCTAACCCACTACACCCACTCAACTCCACTAAACCTAACCCACTCTACCTACCACCTCCACTTCACCCCCTACCATAGTCAAGGATCAGGGTCCAGACAAGTGAAAGGCCGAATTAAGCTTATTAAAGTCTTGAGATAACCTTATTCACGTGATTCGGATCTTCCACGGATTCGTCAAATCCGGCGGCCCTCAACAAATCATCAAACACAACCATTCTTATCTGGCCGTACACGTGTCCATCCCATCTCCTGCCCACCAGCTCCTCCCCCAACTTCACAGCAGCCCCAACCGTCTCCTCCGCGCTATCGTGCGCCGACTCGATGATCCCCCTCTCAACAGCCGCCTGAGCCGTCAACTTCGCCGATCTCCGCAGCACGTCGCGCAGAGCCATGGGGGAGCCGATCTTGCTCCCGTCGCTTTCTACCTTTGTCCACCCCCTTCCTTGGCCTTCTTTCTGAGTTAACAAGCGGGCGGCAGCCTCGCCTTGGCCGCCCGCCGGACATCTACACATGCCTTCACTCCCTCTCTCTCTCTGCAAGTTCAACCAAGGGACAGAGACTAAGCTTACTCTCACATGCTTTACACAAGCAGAAATGCTTACAAGGTAACACAAGCATGCAAACTTCATTAACTCTACAAACCTTACAAGTCATCAACCCCTTCCTTTCATTGTTTTGCTTGCAAAGAAGGTGGAAATCAATAGCACGACCATTGCAGCAAGAGGCCGTATCGTCACACACCCTTAAGTTCAATCTTCAGCAAGTCTTTGCACAAAGTAAAGATAGTAAGGAAGGGTGCTAATCATGCTTTCATTGTATTTGGCCCGTTGTTGCCAAGCACCTGCTTCCACAGCCCACTGTTCCATTCGCAATTCAAGCTCCGATTCGGCTCAGTTTGGTGTTCTCTTCAGGCCGAGCCCTAGGCGGTCCGCTTGTATAATCGTCGCTGGCCCCCCCGTTCCTCTGTCTTTTTCCGTTCCAACACCCGCGGCGGCGGCCTGTGCTCTCTCGGGCTAGGGTGGGTTCTCTCTTTAGTTGAAAGCGAAGAACCACCAAACAAAACAGGGGGCTGCTCTTTAAGTTGACCACAGATTCCTCACATCTCTCCCTTCACTCTCGGCACCAACCCACACACCATACATTCACACCCCCAAAACAAAGCCATAATCATCATGCTGCCCATACCTCATCCTCTAAAATAATAATTCTCCACACACACTCCCACTTTGTCCCATTCTTTTTTATTATTATTATTATTATTATATTTTTTTTTCAGACCCATTAACTTGTCGAACAGTCTGTTCCCCACCTTTATTCTTTTTCTTCATCATTTCATCACCATCCCCTTATTTCTTTATTTATTTTATTTTTCGATTCCCTTCTTTTCATATAAAAAAAAAAAA